ATGTCACACTAATAGGCAGTATAATCTTAAGGAGGCCTCCCTAAAAATTAGAAAATAAAGTCTAAACAACTAAATGGTACCAAAGTCTACTGTTTTGCTAAAAATAATCAGAATTATCAGTTTGAAAGATACATTAAGGTTTATATTATTTTAGAATAACTTTCCATCTTTTAATCTGCCATAAACTATTATGACTATTCATAACTGCATTTAAGTTTAAAGCAAACAACAAGCAGATGTCTGCTGAATCCAAAATAACAAAAATCACATAGTGAGTACTTGCATATATTCTAATGCTCAAATTTTTTAACTTGGCTTTTAAAGTTACTTAATAAAATTAGAGACTCATACTATTCAGCTAAATTAGTGATTATATGAGAAAAATTCCAATATTCAATTTTAATAAATGAACAAAAAATGAAACTTTCTAAAGAGAGAAAGGTTAAGAGGGTTACTGATGGAAAAGTATCAAGATTATGAGTAATAAAGCAGAGAAAGCAACCTCAGAAGCCTGAACATAAACCACAGCATGCATGATGAAATTACATCTCACATGTACACTGTAAGAGTTTATCAGAAGCATAGAAATAGTCCTTAACCATATAGTAAGAGTGTGCAAATTTACAATCCTCGATTACTTTTTACAAGTCTTTCCATTTCTTTGCAAATGGTAAAATAACCTTCTTTCTGACAGAAGCACATAATCCCATTATGTATGTATTTCTTGATCCACTCATCCATGGAGGGGTATCTGGATTGACTCCATATATTGGCTATGGTAAACAATGCTGCAATGAACATGGCTGTGATAGTAGTTTGAGTGTGGCCTGATACGTGGTCAATTGGATAAATCCCTAGGAGTGGAATTGCTGGGTCATAGAGAAGCTCTATGGTTAGCCTTTTAGGAACCTCCATACTTCTTGCCAAAGTGGTTGAACAAGTTTAGTCTCACCAACAGTGTAGTAGCATAGTAAGCTAAACCCATAGAAACATAGGTTGCATAGTTTCCTTCATTTGTTGTAACTAGAATGTGCCTATAAATCTAAAAGTAAACACATTGGATGGAAAAAGACAAAAGTACACTTGAACATAATAATTACACAGGACTCACACAGTGAGACCCAAGGAGGATATTCTTAGGAGAGGATCACAAAGGCTCAATAGGTATGTGCTTATGATCCTATAAAATTATGTTTATCAAAACAAGTTCCAGGGCTGGGAAGGTGGCTCAGTGGTAGAGCGCTTGCCTTGCATGCTCGAGGCCCTGGGTTCGATTCCTCAGCACCACATAAGCAAAAAGAAAAAAGCCGGAAGTGGCTCTGTGGCTCAAGTGGTAGAGTGCTAGCCTTGAGCTGAAGAGCTGAGGGACAGCGCCCAGGCCCAGAGTTCAGGCCCCACGACCGGAAAAAAAAAAAAAATTAAAACAAGCTCCAAAAAATGGAAACAAGAAGTTTATTATTTTACTTTGTTTTTGTTCTCTTGTTATTTTCCCCTTTGTCACTGTTTTTGATCTCTGTACCTCTGTCTTCTATATAAGTTTATCAGTTTGGGGGATGGAAAGGGAGAAGCACAAAAGGTGACAAAAGGTGACAAAAGGTGAACTAACTCAGCAGTGATATGCACTTGACACTATGTTGAAAATGAACTATATAACTTGTCGTGAAGGGTGGGGTCAGAAGGGGAAAAACTGGGAGAAAAAAAAAGGCAAGAAGTGACACTGTTCAAAAACAAATGTACTCATTACCTGATTTATGTAACTGTTAACACTCTGCACATCACCTTTACTAGAAAAATAACATTTTTTAAAAATCCCAAAAATCTTTTTAAGTTTAACTTTTCTACATCAATACACCTGTATAAATATAGTTGACAGCCAGCGCTGGTGGCTCACTCATGTAATCCTAGCTACTCAGGAGGCTGAGATCTGAGGATCGCAGTACAAAGCCATCCCAAGCAGCAAAAAGCCATGAAACTCTTATCTCCAATTAACCACCAGAAAACTGGAGGTGGCACTGTGGCTCAGATGGTAGAGTGAGTGCCTTAAACTGAAGAGCTGAGAGACAGCACCCAGGCCCAGAGTTCAAGCCCTACGACCAAGAAAAAAAATTATATATATATATATATATATATATAGTTGAGAGTATGCTAAAAATACTTTTGGAGTATTAGGGAGTAAAAGGTGGTAGCTATTATGTATAATTTATCACTAGATTTCCACTGTAAAGGGCTTAAATTTATTTTCTTAAAGATAATTTTGGCAAGGATAATAACTTTTGGCAAAGGAAGTTATAGAATTTACATTTCTACCAATACTTCATAAAAAGGTTCACTTCTTTATGCCTTATATAACAATGAATGTTACCAAATTACTTAATATTTGCCAATCTAGAATTAGGTTCTTTCTTGTATTTTTTTTATTTCAAAAATTACATTATAATTTCTCAAGACTATCTCTTCCCAGGATTACACACACACACACACACACACACACACACACACATACCAGTTACCAGTTTCAAGGGAATTATCTAAAATTTATCTTTTGTTTGTTGTTGGTGATGCTGGTGGTGGTGGTAGTGGTGGTGGTGGTGGTGGTGGTGTTGGTGGTAGTCATGGGGCTTGAATTCTGGCCCTGGGCACTGTCCCTGAGAGCTCTTTCACTCAAGGCTAATGCTCTACCACTTTGAGCCACAACTCCATGTTCAGTTTTCTAGTGGTTAATTAGAGATAAGAGTCTCACAGACTTTCCTTCCTTGTCTAGCTTTGAACCACAATCCTCAGATCTCAGCCTCCTGAGTAGCTAGGATCACAGGCGTGAGCCACCAAAGCCCAGCTTAAAATTTATCTTAAAATGATTAAAACAATGAATAATGCTTTCTGGAATAAAATATAAGGAATATAGACACTGTTGAATAAAATGTAGCTAAAAGTTTTATCTCAGTAAGATGTAAACAAATTTTCTGTATTATCAAAAATTTATGGGCTGGGAAGGTGGCTCAGTGGTAGAGCACTTGCTTTGCATGCATGAGGCCCTGGGTTCGATTTCTCAGCACCACATAAGCAGAAAAAGCCAGAAATGGTGCTATGACTCGAGTGCTAGAGTGCTAGCCTTGAGCTAAAGAGCTGAAGGACAGCGCCCAGGCCCAGAGTTCAGGCTCCATGACCGGCCAAAACAAACAACAAAAAAAAAAATTTATTATCTCTAATTTATTGTATTTTTGCTCATCACTTTATCACCACAGTAAAAAATACTAATTTATGAAATTAATTTATTCTTATTGTACCCTAAAAGACAAAATAAATTCTATGGTCACAAATCTCTGATGGTTCCTAAAAATTATTATAGATATTTTTAATTTAGCGCATTAAACTGCAAAATCTATATATTCATTCTATTTTGAGATTTATAAAAAGAAGTTGTTAATATCAGTATATGCTTCTTGAACTTTAATCTAGATAATTTTAAATACCTACTAAAAATTTTAAAGGATAGGCAAGTTATTGGAGAACAAAATAGTAATAAGAAAATCAGGAGTAACATGCCTTGTTTACCATGCAGCACATGAAATAAGACAAGGAAAGGATGTCTTACTACACAGGAATTGAGAAACTCTCTACCAACCATCCAGTGCCATGGATTCATCTTTAATGTGAACAGCAGGAGATTCCTGGCTAACATTCCCAACCATTGTCAAATATCCCTTAGAAAACAAAATCGATGCAAGTGAGAAATACTAGTTTAGAAATAGGTGACATTCTAAATGTAAAAGGTCAAGATTTAATAGTCAAATCATGCTCACTATGTGGGGAATGCCCATGCCTCCATTCCCCTCAAATTTCAGTATTCCATAATTAATGCTTCATCTTAAACAGAGGTTCCTTTAATTCAATCAGGCTACCTTTAAAGATTTCAAACCCTTTTCCAAGAGATTTTCTATTGCCCAAATCCAAAAAATAATCCCACAGTCCTATTTTAGCAAACTGTCATACCACCTCAGTGTTAGTGAGTAGTAGGAAATTAATTTTGTTAGATGAGGAATTTTGGCTACAATTTAAAATTTCAACAAGCAAAATAATATAACATATCCAGTTTGAAGAGACCCATTCCTATGTACATACTTATTTTTAGCTTTAGTTTTGATACAAACACAAGTATGTATACAGTTTACTAATAAATGCATTTCTTTGTATTTTCCTCAAACAAATTAGGAGACAAGTTAAATATTTAATAGTATAGTGCCTTAATTATGCTCCTAAAATTCAGAAAATAGTATTTAATAGTTGCATAATACTAAAAAGCACATTAATATATCAAAATTCCTTTAATTTTTTTAGGTAACAAAAAATAAAATAGAAGTTGTTCAATAGTCTATCATAAAAGATATCCTTGCTTCAAGAGAAAATAATGCAATTGAAAGAAAAATTGTGCTGAGACTGGTGGTTCATCCTTGAAATTTCAGCTACTTTGGAGGTAGAAACTTGTTTTTCTGGTAGAAGCAATGTTCTGTTCTGGTAGAAGCCAGGCTGAAGCCTGACTCACACAAAAAGTTCCTGAGACCTCCATCTCTACCGTTAAGCTGTGCATGGCGGTATTTACCTGTCATCCTACTGATATGACAGGCAAAAATAGGAAGATCACATTCCAGATAGGCACAAAGAAAAGGAAAGGAACTTACCCCAAAAATAAATAAACAAAACTGTCTTGGGGCATGGCTCAAGCAGAGACCATGCCTCACAAATACAAGACCCAAAACCCCAGTACAAACAAAAAAAAAGTCCAATTTTGTACTAAATGTTATAACACCAATAACACTTACACTGTCTTCATTTTCAAAATGATTCTGCCAATAAGTATTAGAGGTGGATTTAAAATGGACATTATTCTAATATAAGGTATTACTAATAATTGGAGATATTAAAGTAACATCAAAAAGTTTGATTTTTGAAGTTATAAAAAATGGTAATAATAAATAAAATTAACATGTCTCAATGATACTTACATTACTTGCAAACTTTCTGCTGTTAAATTATTCCACATGATTTCATTCGCCTGAAGGTTTTCATTTTCTTCTAATAAGGAAGTGTCAAACTCTATTTCTTGTTCTTTAGCAGCTGTTGTTCTAGCAAGATAACCAAAGAATTCTAATTAATATAAACATACTATCACAATATATCTTACTACTCTCAAAAAATAGAATATTCTTATTCAAAATTTGAATAAAAAGTAAACACAAATAACAGAATTAAAGTAAACCATAAGCATCTGAGAGCTATTTTTGGGGGGGGAGGGGGGGTCCGGTCGTGGGGCCTGAACTCTGGGCCTGGGCACTGTCCCTCAGCTCTTTAGCTCAAGGTTAGCACTCTACCACTTGAGCCACAGCACCACTTCCGGCTTTCTTTTTGCTTATGTGATGCTGAGGAATTGAACCCAGGGCCTCAGGCATGCAAGGCAAGTGCTCTACCACTGAGCCATCTTCCCAGCCCCTGAGAGCTATGTATATAATGTGAGCTTTATTTCTCTCATTTATAGAATACAGACATGTACCTGCTTTTTTTCTTGTCACTTTCATTAAGTATAAATTAAGATGACGAACGCTACAACTTTGGGGGGGGGAGGTGGATTGGGTGGGGGAGGGAGGAGGATGGAAAGGGATGGGAAGGGGAAACAAAGAAGGAGGCTACAATGCTTGATAAGAAATGTACTCGTTATCTTGCCCATGTAATTGTAACCCCTTTGTACAGTATTTTCACAATAAAAAAAGAAGATGATGTTAGGTGAAATGAACCCAAGATAAGGACACAAGTGTTTTTTTTTTCTTGCTTGCTATTGTTTCTAACATTTTTATAAGGTGATTTCTTTGTTGCTTTGTATGTCCCTCCCCAATGGTATAACCCCTGCTTTCACTGTATTTGATGTTAGTATAATTGGGGGAGGGGAAGGAAAAAAACAAATTGTTTAAATAGGGGTACAGGTGTACCCATTGCAACAATGAGATGTACAAGACGGTATGTCAAAAAAACGAACTTTACAACTTTGGCGCGGGGGTGGGGGGAAGGCCAGAATGTAGTCATGGAGATGGGAGGGCAGGGATGGTAGGGGAAACAAAGGAGGAGGCAACAATGCTTTATAAGTAATGTATTCATTACCTTGCTCATGTAATTGTAACCCCTTTATATGGTATTTTCACAATAAAAAACTTATTTAAAAAATTAAAAAATAAAATAAATAAGATGAATGCTTGAAAAAGCAATTGGTGCCTCAGAAAACTTACTATCCATATAAATTCACAGCATTATTATCATATTATAAATATATTATTATCATATTCTAAATATGATATAATAGGATCATATTATAAATATATTATAAAAACCATATTATAAATATGATTTTGCAGGTTAAACAATGTGATATAATAACTGATAAACTTTTTAATATAATTATATGAATTAGTTATCAACATTGAATCTCTAAAATTTAAAAGCAAATTAATCTGAAAGATACTATGTCCCAGTAACATCTTTTTACTTTTTTCAAACATTATATAAAGATAAAATAATATTTCCATAAATAACAAGGGATGAAAATATCTTACCTATGAACCTCTATGAAATTATTATATTCTGTTTCAGGATCTATCTGTTCAACTGACATTTGAATCTCCTTATGGACATTCACTATTTCCTCTGTAACAAGACTGGTTATCTGGCTGTATTCATCCAATATACCTTTTCTGAAAAAAAATTATAACATTTCAAGTTTTTAATCAAGAGAGACAAAGACCCAAAAAGAGTTTTGAAAATTAAACATAAGAAATGTACTATCAGCCTCAGAGCAGTGCCTCATGCCTATAATTCTATCAGGAAGCTGAGTTCTGAAGATTATGGTTCAGGGCCATCCCAGGCAGACAAATTTGAGACTCTTTAGTGTCTTAAAGAGACTATTTAATCTATAATAAAACAGTAAAAAGCCAGAAATAAAGGCTTAGGTCAAGTGATAGAGTGCCCTCTTTGAGCAAGCAACATCAGCAGGCCCTGAGTTCAAGACCCAGTACTAGCACCAAAAGGAAAAAAAAACAAAAAGAAGAAAAAGAACAGGCAAAAGAAGAAGAAAAGAACAGTGTATATATACAATGGAATTTTACTAATAATCCATTAGAAAGGATGATATTATGTCATTTGTAAAGAAATTGATGGACCTAGGGAAAATTATATTCATTATTTACCCTACCTCTCAGTTATTCATCTGCTCCTGAGGTTTGTTCTTTTTTATGTATAGAACTTACTTCAACATATCTTCCATGACTTTCTGCAACCCTAAATCTGTATGTTCCATGACCCTTCATCTCTTCTCCTGACTACAGTTTGTAACAAAAATATTATCAAAGTTATCAGCCTTGTCCAATAAATACAAAAGTAAAAAAAGTCTTTTTTGTTACAAAGAACAAATATCCTTACTTAAAAATGCTATGCGCAAAACAAATTCTACTGGTCAATAGTGGCTTCAAAGCAAGTGCAAATGAACTTATCCTGAATATTCCCAAATACATATAAATTGTAATTTTTATTTCTTCTACTAATAATAAATCAAAATTATTATTCACAAGGCTCCATTATTATGAAATGCTTTTTCAATTACTTTGTTTTAAATAGAAAAAGTGTTGGATTAAAAAAATAGCTTTAAACTTGCTCAGGTAATGCTAGTTTCAAATGATTGTAGACATGATTAATGGATATGTTTAAAAGGGAAAGTAGAGTAATTTAAATACAGATTTAGTCAATATTAATAGGAATAAATAGTCATAAAATGGACATCATTAAATGGCTCTGACATGAACCAATGTTTATACCTCAGACAAACGGAGAAAGTAGAAATCTCTCAACAGTGCATGAAAGGACACTTGTCACACAGGATTCTCTTTGAGTATTAACATCATGGTTAGATGTTTAAATGCTAGATCTAATGCAATGTACGACAAACTATTTTGTCCCAAATAAATTTTACAGTGATAATGAAAAAATGTTATTAAAAATTCAATAATTTTGAATTTTATTGGTAAAATGAAAATAGGAAAAAATATATAATGTAGCTAGATTCATAAATTAAATGTTTTAAGTAGATATTTCACTATTTTATCATCAGTGGAAAATTAACACACCCAAGCTGACTAAAAACATTTATCTTCTTTCCTTAGAGTGAAAATGGAGATCATCTAAAATTGAGTTTTACACACACACACACATACACACACACACAGAGATACACACACACACATACACACACACAGAGTTATCTTCATACTTTCACATTAAGCAAAACTAAGTCAAGAAGAGTCTGAAAGGTAACATCAAATTTGATCTCATTTCAAAAGTTCTAGAAGTCATTATTGCTCAAGAACTATTGATAATCTAGATCCCTTATCTAAAACATTTATACGTAAAGGGACTATTCTATGTAAGTATTAAAATAGAAAATGTGTTGCCCAATACAATTCAGAATGTTTTACAAAAAGAAAAAAAGGCTTTTTCATGTAATAGGTTACAGGCATGAGCCACTGGTGCCCAACTGCTATATTTCAAAGTACAAAAAACTACAGGTTCGTGGATAGTCAGAGTAGTATACACCTGTCATCCTAGCTATATAGAAGACTCATGGTTAGAGGCTAGCCTATTCAAAAATGTAATGAGACCTAATCACAATCACAAAAAACAAGTAATAGTGGCTTATGATTCCAGATATGTAAGCTGCAGCGATACAGCTGGATCACAATCTGAGGGGTACTATTTGAAAAATTACTAAAATAGGCACAAGACCCTGAATTTAAACCTCAGTACAGTCAAAAAACAATAATAAACAGAAAAGCCAGGTGCTGGTGGCTCACTCCTATAATACTAGCTATTCAGGAGGCTGAGATCTGAGGATCATAGTTTGAAGGCAGCCCAAGCAGAAAGTCCATGAGACTCTTATCTCCAATCAGAAAAGCTGGAAGTGGTACTGTGGCTCAAGAAGTAGAGCACTAGCCTTGAGCACAAAGAGGCTCAGGGACAATGCCCAGGCCCTGAGTTCAAGTCCAAGGACTGCAAAAAATAAAAATGAACAAACAAATAAAACAAAGAGTTCAGGTGTCAATTTATATAACAATCATCAAATTAACTAGACTATAAGAAAAATTGGCACTTAATTTGCCAAAGTTTCTTCCTTCATAGTTTACCATAATGTAAACTTTATTTCCACCTGTGAGATAACCAACCACTCATCTCATCTTTTCTAACCTTTTGTCATCTCATTTCCTTTCTATCTTCCCTGCCCTACTCTAATGCACAACTGTAATATTAAAGAATTCCTGTTGCACATTTTCTCTGAGAGAAAATGTAATCTAACCATTTGCAAAGGGCTAAACCAACTAATAAAAGAGATGAAGGCCTTCTATAAGTGGTTCATCTCTCTCTGTTGCCTTACGTCAACATCTGTGGCAAATGTATGTGCCTTGTGACTTACTGATGAGAGTATATTGTCACCTCCTCAAAGGTAAGAATTTAGCCTGTACATCTCTGTATACCAAATACATATCAGAGTATGCTTTTGTACACAGCAAAAACTCTATTAACATTTGTTGATTTTTAGTATCATACAGAGAAAACAAAGAATAAGAAGCTGGTAAATAAACATCCAAAATTATTTTCTTCAAGTTTCACAGTTCAAAGTCTAAATATCTAACTATTGTGGGGGGACAGGTTTTCATCTATTATTTTTTAGTAAAAGTGTTGAATCTCTCATTAATGTGCATATCCATTTCTAAGTACTAAATCTGAAGAACAGTAAAATAGGAAATAGCCATTTGTTTACATATCTGCAGGCTGAGTATGGGCAGCTCCGGTGGAAAGTTGAGGAGATGGAGCACAAAGTGAAGGAGCACCAGCAGTGAAAATGAAGGAGAAAAACAATGAGGTGAGATCGGTTTGAGGTATAGAAATTTAAGTAAAAGAGGAAACAGACTTCTGAAGGGATTTTCTGAGAAAGAGGAAGTGTGTCTTACAGTGCTTTTATCATTTCTTCTTGCATCTTTTGCAAGGAGTCCAGAAGCAGTGGAAGTGTGGTATCATAATACTGGTTCTGATGAAGCTGTGCCCCTTTCAACGCCAACACATACTGATTATGCAACATATGAAGTTTCATTGTGGCCTTGTCATAACGTTCCTTGGCCTTTTCTGTTTCTTTCCCTGGGGAGAAAAAAAAAATTAGCAAAGAGATAAGAACTGAAGTCATACCTTCACTATATGCAGTTTAGACTCTCATTATTATTTTTTATTTCCCACAGTTTACAAATAACACATCTATTGAAAACATACTATGTGTACAGAATTATACAAAGTACTGTTTTCCTATACTTAGCACAGAAGTTGCTAAGAAGCAGCATATACTGCACAGTACATTTCTGGTGATCGCATAAATGTACAACTCATCCTTAAAGTAACTTACAACAGCAGTTCTCATAAAACTGTCTAACCAAGAAAGCTTGCAAATAATGTTAAATTGTGAGTTCTGCATTTGAGTTTTTAGTAAAGACAGGGTTATGAGCAGAGATGTTATAGAGCAAACAGACACTTTAAAATTGTGGCATGTGTCAATGGATCACGCATGTCATCCTCACTGGAACACAACTCAAAAGTAGCCCTGGCAAGAAAGTCTATGAGACTCTTATCTCCAATTAACCAAAAAGCCAGAAGTAGAGGTGTTGCTCAATTGGTAGAGTGCTAGCCTTGAGTTAAAAAGCTCAATGCCCAGGCCTTGAGTTCATGAGTTTGAGCCTCAGGATCATACCCCCCGCCATACACACACACAGCAAAAGTGGGTTTTTAAATACTTTCTGACTACATCCCACAGAATGGTTCATCTTATGAACCAATGTAGTAATCTTATAGACAAAATATATAACTTCATTTTGTCAGAAATATTATCCTCATTCAGGTACAATCTATGGTATTTAAAAAATTCCATTCTGCTTGAATTTTGAATTTAAAAGAATGTACATTAGAATTTAATGAACATCTTACCACAGTTAACACAAATCTCCAGCAATTAATTCTTAACTCATTCTGTATGCATTTGGGATAATATTATTAAGTTAGCAATTAATAAATCATGTCAGTAATATAAATAATAAATTATATTTAACATTCTGAAGAACATATCCTCCCCACATGTTCAGTTAGCATAATTTACATCACATCAGTTAGTATAATTTTCAGATTAATATATTTTTATCCATGAATACTTAGCTTCCTTCTTATAGAAATACATATCATTAAGTAGCCCCAAGTAATGTCACATCTATGGCCAGCCCTGGAGCGTTCTTGTAAAAATGACCAAATTTGTCTCTCCTCATTCACACACATCAGAAGATTCCTTTGTGAAGCTGACACTCAGGCTCCAAGATGGACACCAGACCATTCACAAACCAATCTTTTAATAGAAGCAAAGCAATATTCATTTCTGAATGAGGGTGAAGTTCACAACTTTTTGCTACAGAAGCTGCTAGAACAGCCTTAGCTAATTACTCCCCTTCCTGGGGGCCATTTCAACATTTCTGATGGTTTTGCTTGTTTTTCACTTGCTTGTTTTTTCAGTCCTGTGGGTGAGCAATCAACCTCGTTTGCTCATTTGCTAAGTAACTGCTCTACAGCTTGAGCTACACCCCACCGCTGACCTTTGTTTTTTTGTTTGTTTGGTTGTTTTTTGTTTTTTGTGGGTTTTGTTGTTGGGTTTTTGTTTTGGTTTGGTTTTGGGTTTGTTTTTTTTTTTGTCGGTCATAGGGCTTGAACTCTAGGCCTGGGCACTGTCCCTGAACTGATCTTCAGCTCAAGGCTAGTTCTCTACCACTTTGAACCACAGTGCCACTTCCATTTTCTGGTAATTAATTGAAGATAAGAGTCTCACAGACTTTCCTGCCCAGGTTTTGAACTGCAATCCTCAGATCTCAGCCTCCTGAGTAGCTAGGATTACAGGTATGAGCCACCAGCACCTGGGTGACCTTTGTTTTGGTTCACCATTTTCAAATCAGTTTGTTTCTGTTTCTTGAAATTAAACATACTGATTCAGACAACAGAGAGCTCCAAAGATCACGCACAATTAATTACAAGTTATAAAGATATCTTCCATCTACATAATCATAATAAGACAAATAAATAAATGATGACCAAGTATTCTATTTCACTGATTCTTATTGGCAGTTCAAAAGGCATAATTAAGGAATTTGATGAAGTTTACATTTCAGGTTACTTTTCAAAACTATTAGTTTCATATATCAATTTTATTATTTTTGGAAAATTCTCTAAATGTATTATTCTGACTTCAAGAGTCATGCTCACAGATAAACATTTTCATGGACAAATCTAAACCAATCCATCTGCCTTGCTCTTTGCACAGATTTCTAAACTGCAGACGCCCCATCTGTCTTCCTATCTGGTGTAGAATGACTCACTAAATATACAACACCCAACTCACTAAAATTGTATGATATAGCATAACAATAGAAAACTTAAGAACTTCTTAGATTTCTTTTTCTGTCTTAGGCATGTGAGCAACAATCTGAAGGAGACTGTTACGGTCAAAATCAATAGCCTATTAGCAGTCATTACCATGATTTAAAAAAAAATGTCTCTGAAATCATCCAATGCAAAAATATGTTGAGATTTAAAACTAAACTTTCTTTAAGTTATGCTTTAGTAGGTCCTGGAAAGGAAAGCTACTGTACAGTTCACACAAACTTGTATATTTGGTTGTGAGGAATTATGTATATACATATTTATCTATAATCCATCTCCCTTCTAAGTTTGAACAAAGAGTTATAACACATGCTCACTTGCTGTGGTTTAGAAAGGGATTCTACTGTACATTTTTTTTATTTGTTTTATATAGAGACTATGTAAGTAAATTCTCAAAATGTTAATATTGTAGAAAAGCCAGTATTACAGTAAAAGGTCTAATTCTTTTCACATAAAAAGATTATTGTACTCTGTACAGTATCTTTACAATAAAAATATTTAAAAAGATTATTGTAATAAAACAGTCTGACTCGACTTGAGCCATACTGCTATTAGAGTCAGAATATCTCAGATCAATACTTTCTTTTAAGCATTTACGTATGAAATTAAAGGTGAAGCAGATAGAGTGAACAAATTCTTATTGACAAAGAATTTTATCTCTGTTACTGTGTGTTTTTTCTTAGATGAAAAGAGGCACTGAAGCAGGGCTTGAAGTGTTCTGTGTATCAATTAAAATGGAGGAAAACATTCCATTTTTCCTCTTCCAACATAATGAAATTCATAGATTGAATTATAATTCTTTTGCCCCCACTTGTTGACAAATCTGTTTAATGTTTTGTAATAACATTGTGCATACAACATGTCATGCCATAAACAATATCATGAAGCTAGCAAAACTCAATTATGTAAGTTTGACATTTACAAAAGACAGGCTAGACTACTCATTAAGCTAGTCTAAAAAGTCAAGTATTTTTCATTATAAACTTCTGAAGTGCTTACCATGTGTTGAATGAATATCATGGTAGAAAGCTTTCTGACAATAAATAAAAAGTAATTACTTTCTGAAAACAAAGTGATTCTTTTCTGCTTTTCCTACAAGTAGAATCTGCTTTGAATGGCTAACTAAACATTTTATCATTTTATTTTTTCTTTTCTTTCTAAACACTCCAAAGCATACACATATAATTACTATCCTAAGAATACTATTAAGAAGAAAATGAATAGAAATTCATCTTAACTTCTACGTTAGTCAGGCTAAATGTTCAAGTATGTTTGTTTCATATGGAAATTGAATTCAAGTGTTGTATGTGGGTACAATGAATGAGTTACTTTATGTAGTATACATCTAAGAGCTAAATTATCTGAACTTCCTAATTCATTGAGATGGAGATTGCATGGAAGAAAATTGCCGAACTTCAGTAAGCAGCAAATTTTTTATGTTCTACCATTGAGTCAGTAAGCAAATATACTGCAAATAACAGATGCTAAGTTTCTGTTAGAAAAAGAAGTTGAAATGTTACATAGGAAAGATTAAATTGACTTTATGATGTTAGATTTGGAGCTATAAATATCTATGAGAAACCTTCAGTTATAATATAGATAATCAATGGGTATATCAGTAAGAGTGTGTGAGAGAAGACTTAGACTACAGATATTCCAGTAGTAATGAACACATCCAAGGTCCCAAATATTGTTTTCTAAATAAAAATAAAAGAAACTCAGATTACTGAAAGAAATGGAGCAGGAAGAAAATAAGTACTCAATGAATGATGGTAACATGTTAAAAAATAACTATTTTTAAATGTTAGTTAATGAAACTAAAAATAATAATAGAATTAGAAAATTATCATTTCAAAATAATCATATGCTATGGCTTTTATCCAGTATGACCCATGTCTGGATAAGAAGAGGATTTGGATGAAAATCTAGATAGAGAGAGGCCAGAGAAACCAATATTGCTGGCAATTTTACAGTAAATTTTTAGCCTTTGTAAGTAATCCATATCATGGTGCTCTGTTAGGCCAGCCCGTAGCAGACTCCATGGCTAGGAGATGGCAACAAGTGAAGTCATTTCCTCAGACAAAAAGATGGAACACACATGTAGAAAATGGCGGGGCTTTCCTCCACTCTATGATCCTCCTCTATATTTAAATAACAGAGAAATGTATTTCTCCCATATCTAAGTATTTAACTGAGTTCTAAATATTGCCTAAAGGTCCATATGTTAAAGTCTTAATCCCCAGATATGGCACTACTGTTTTATGGTAGTACCTTTGAGAGGTGAGAGCTAACGGGAAATTCTTAAGATTGCAGTGTGAGTAGTTTGCTCCAATAGGTACTACCAACTATTACCCTACCCAAAGCAATGGTGTTACCCATGACTCTAGAATATGGTGGTTCACAATTATAATCCCAGATACTTAGGAGGCAGAAATCAGGAGGCTCCTGCTACTGTTCCTAAATTCATAAATTGAAATATTCTTAAGTCTAAAATAATTAAATTTAGGTACTTTTTTAAAATATTAAGACATTGGGCTGGGAAGGTGGCTCAGTGGTAGAGCTCTTGCCTTGCCTGCATGAGGCCCACATAAGCAAAAAGAAAAAAGCCGGAAGTGGTGCTGTGGCTCAAGTGGTAGAGCGCTAGCCTTGAGCTGAAGAGCTGAGGGACAGCACC